CTCTCTAATTTTGAGAATTTTGACTTTTTTTTCCTTTCACTGGAATGTGAAGTAGAAACAGAGAGTGTTGTAAACTGTTATATTTAGAAGGAGATTGTGCCGCAGCAGATTGCATGGCAGGACAACTAAGCTGTGTAAATGCATTTTTGTTATGACCTGTAGAAATAATTCTGGATTTTTTTTTTATCTTACAGTCTAATGAAATAATAGATTCTGGGTAGATCTATTCCCTACATCAGAGTTACAGTCTTCATGCATGCTGGCCTGATTTGCTGTCCTGAGTGTCCCAACTTCGCCGCTGTCCTTCTTTAACTTGGCATATTCTAATTCACTTACGGATAAACATGAAGATGCTTTAGACTAGGAGGGAGTCAAGTACATTAGGTGCAGCATGAGGACATCACCCAGGGAGGCAGGCTGCTATATCAGAAAATTTATTTTGCTCACAGGCTCTAAGTGGAGGTGCTGCGAAGCCGTCCAGCCCCAGCCTGCTGCTTGATGAGTGTTGCCCCTTTTGCTCGTCCAGCCTCACATCATACACACCCACAGCTTGTTTGTGGTATTTTACACGTCCCCTATCTGAGTTTTCTCTCCCCTTTTCTTTTTCATTTATGGGGCTGCTGTGACACTTGCTTTCCTGTTATCTGAGCAGGAATTTCTGAATTCTTCTTGGAGGCATASGACAGATTGAGGTGAGTGACTCGCAGTCAAAGGGATAAAGCTGTGGCTTTGGGAACAGCAGCATCAGCCACTGCTCTTCATAGTCTGAAGAGTCACACCTTCCCATGTGTCATTCTGGAATGTTAAAATAATAGACTTGGGATATGAAATTTATATCTCTACTTTGGAGTTAGGGTTTGGGGTTTTTTCCCCCCTTATATGTGCTCTCCTCATACTAGTAAGAATTATACTTTTAGCTTCTCTGTAACTTCTGCTATTTAGTAATTACCTTTTCATTTATTGGATTTGTTTACATAATTTGTCTCAGAAACACATTTCTAATCAATTTGAAAATATTTGCCTAAGAAGGCCTCATCATATATTCTAAAAACAAAATAACAACTTCTTTCACAAGAGTATCCAATGTGTGTATATGTTAAAAAATTGCATTGGTTTGTTAAGTAGGTGAATCTTTTTCATCATGTTATTTTTTTCCCCATTTTTCCAAATTTTCCCCCTTCTGTTCCCCTTCCAGTGTATTGCACTGGAAAAAGTCCTAATGCAACATTCCTACATGGGCTTACTTTTCCATGAATTCTGTTGACTTAATGAGAGAGAAACTGCTAGAAAATAGTTTTGTTTCACATAGATGTAACATTTCATTATAGCACTTAAATAGAATAAAAGAATTGCTTGATTGAAATAGCTCAGAGCAGCTTTTATTCCGTAGCATGGTTTCAAGTGGGTCTTTATAGAAGAGTTGCATCGTGTGGAGAACATCCCTGTGAGTGCTGAAGCCTGGAAATGATGATTTTTAAAAATAGTTTGGTCTCCAATCTGGCTTGGCTTTGATTTCTAGACATTCAGGAAATGGAACTTTCAAAGCTGAAGTCAATGGGAAAATGTGCACTGTTCCCCCTCAGTAAGTGTGACTTTATGGAAATGTTAAAATGCACCTCATTGTTTGCATAGAGTCTCTTTTTGGCAAGAAATGAGAATCTGTATAATCAATTACTCTAGAGGTTTTCCTTCAAGGTCTATGGGCTAGGAAGTGTGGACAGTTTTTAAAATAAAACTCTTACACAAAAGAACTCTTTTCATACAGAATCAAACAAATCCACGATACACTAGGCATCCRACAGAGATATATGAATAAAACACCCATAAAACACTTAAAGGAAATACATGCCAGTGTACTAAAATAAGTGCTGAGACTTGGCCTAGTCTTCATTAGTATAACCCAGTCATATTAATGTACAGTTTAGTTTAGACTGAAGTCTACCGACCGGTTTTTCTCTTTGCTTGTGAAAGAGAAATAGCAAACCCTGTAATTCACTGAGTAAGCTATTCTATTTCCATAGAAATTACATTTTTCTTCAAATTAAACTTTATGCTCTCCCTTCTTAGCTCAGGGTGTGGGTTTCTTGTGATGATTTTAATTACGTTCCAGATGTGTGTTTCAGTGCCATTCTGAAAGCAGCCACCGAGATSCTGGTGGAAGGTATTTGTGAAAGATCCTAGAGACAGGGCTGTGGACATGGCTACGTCCATGTGTGCTGTGTTGTTTGGGGTTGTTCCATCTCACAGTCTGCCCTGTGTCTCCCATGGGAAAGCCCAGAGTCCGAAGGCTGTTTCCACCRACCTTACACGTTTGTGGGTAGCTGTAGGTGCCCAGGGCAGCCCAGTATTTTACACTGGTTCTGCCAACATGGAATTGTCATTTGGTCATGTGGCAAGACAAGTTGTTGTGTTTCTTCTGCTTTGRGTCTGAGCGCTTTGCAAGGTAATTCTTTCATATGTTCTCCCAACTCTGCTAGGAGCTGAGGAAACTAAAATTATGGACAAAATCCAGTATGTGGTGGAGACGGGCCCTGTGATAAGTTATCTGAAGAACAATCACTTAACTTCTTTTGTTAAAGACAGTGTTTATAAGGTACTCAAGAGATTCTGTCCATACTTCAGTCTGGCCACAAGATAACATCAACTGCAGCTTAACTCAGTTGATTCATACTCTTGTGTAAATACATACATGCACAGAAATCCCTCTGTACACATAAAGAAATTCTATACATGYCAAGGTATTGTTCCAGTAAACTAGGGTTTGCGATTGTGTGGACTAAAAGAACTGTCTTAAGCGCTCTCTGTAGTAAGATCTGAAATAAAACAGATATTTTTTGAGACATTGGTGTGTGGTTATATCAGTCTCTGCAAGCACCACGTTGCCTTCTTGCCTTTCAGCTTTTTTTAATAGGCAGCAGATATTTGCAGCTGGATAGACTGCAAATAAATACATATTTTCACCATGAATAGAAAGGAGTTTTCAGTTTGTCTTGTTAGGGAAACCCCTTCTCATTCCTCCATGTAGAAACACTATTACATTATCCAAGTTCTGCTTAAACTTACCTCTTTTACACAGTGTCCTGCACCAATTTACAGTTCTCGGGCTACATTTACCAAAAAATAAAAAAAGAGAGAGAGAGAGAGAGAGAGAGAGAGAGAGAGAGAGAGAGAGAGAGAGAGAGAGAGAGAGAGA